AACATGGCAATGTCCCATGAAGTGCGGGTTTTTAAAGCGCATGATCCATAGCACGATTTCCTTAAGACACCGAGATCCGAATTTGTCAAAATGCAGGTTTTTGCCCGTGTAATGAGAAACGAATACGGCGGTATACGGTGAGTTGTGTGAAAGCATAAGCGACTTTTATTAAAAAAAACAAAAAAGGGTGTGAAATCCCTCAGAACCCCCCGAATGCGGACTTCGAGGAAACCTGTTTGTGTCAACAATAATTTCTGCAGTCCTTTCTTGGTAGTGATTGTGTTCCCATGCATTTGCGGATCCTACAATTCCGTCGGGATCCGAACGTCACGTTCAATGCCTCAACCATGACAATCGTACACGGTTGCCAGGTACGGCAACCGCTAAGTTAAACCTCAAATGGTGAAGTTTGGATGCCAACGAACTACGACAAATAGTACATGAGACTTGCACTTGCGTCGGAAAGGCTGAAGAATGCAAATGTTTCTTTGAATGGTATTTTGTTGTAGTCCACCGGAATCCGAACTTCATCACCACGTCTTCAACGATAGTAGCAAGATTGGGGGGGGGCGAGGCTGGTGAATTGTTAACCCTGAATTGTGAAGTTTGGATCTAAACGAATTATAACAATTAGCTACCGGACACGTCTATAGAGGAAGGCATATGCGTCGGCCTCTGAAAGTGCCATTGCTCTTTATAGGTGGTGGAAGAGACATCTGGTGCTCTCGCTCACTAACACACCAGCCTGTTCTCTTGTATATCGAACACCCATTCGTGTGTTTCGCGCGTTTTCATGATTGGGGCATCAGTGCCTGGACACATCTCGTCCATACACAACAGTGGCAGCATTGTTCGTTAGCAAACAATGTTGTCCATGATGAATGAGGTTCTCATCGGAACGGAGAGATGACCCGATGATGGTAACACTTATGACATTGTTCACGGAGAAACATTGTCATGATGGGGAGGACATAATGCAATGATTATGAAGCACCCTACGCCACGTAGCCCGATCATAAATGTGAGTACATGTGGCATAATTGCAGTGGCCTGTGTCGATGACAAACCTCAGTGGGCAGAAATTTACGTAACCTAATGACGGGCTGCTGAACATTTTTCGCCACGCGCCGATGGGCCGTTCTGCTTGATAGGACCAAAAGCGAGGCCGGGCCCAGTGATAGCCGAACGATTTGCGCATAGGACGATCAGGCTTCGACTTGCGCAGTGGCCCTGCATGAGGCGAGTCGGAATGAGGGCCAACCTTGAAGTGTCTGCTGGAAACACCTTCAATACGTTATTCGTTAAAATAGGACATTATATTGTGCCCTCTTTCGAACGAATTAAGTTTCAGCTGCAGCCTAAGCAACCTAGGCATACCCATCCACTCACCCATCCACTCGCCCCATATGCGGAAGTGTGCTGAGATCCATACTTGTTTATAATGAGCAAGGTGTGCCTGATATGTGGAAGTGTGCCGAGATCCATACTTATGTATAATTCCGATGAGCAAGGCGCCTTGATTGTGTCCTTATCGGAGAAGTTTGATAAGTGTGTTGAGATTCATACTAAGTCTTATTTTGGATTGTGATGAGCAAGGCGCCTTGATTGTATCCTTGTCGGAGAAGTTTGATAAGTGTGCTGAGATCCATACTTATTTCTGATTGTGATGAGCAAGGTGCCTTGATTGTGATGAGCAAGGTGCCCTGAGCAGCACAACCTGCGACCCCCACTGATGGATAATCACTGCAACACAATGATGTCGACTCCTTGTTGTGTTTGAATGTTGGAACGTCGAAAGTTCCGGTGGGCAGAGTTGAGGAAGGGAAGAAGGGAACTACCACGCTTACTGCTCCTGGATTGAGCCTTCCCCCAATCCTCCGTGCTGCTCTTATGGGTGCCACATAATGCGTCGGCCCGCATCGGGGCCGACCACCTTAATCCAGGTCGACTTCATGTCGGGCACTGGTCTTATGGGTGCCACATAGTGCGCCTCATTGAGGTGATACGAGCGGAAAAAGGGATTTGAACCCCCAACCTTATGTTTCTCACACATGGCTTGTTAACGATGTAGCGTAAGCTCATGCCCGTGCCTATATAGGCCAGGCGCGCGCTCGCAGCAGAATAACCAACAGGAAAAGGTTATGGGTGCACCCGAGCAGTGGGGCGGAACAGGCAGTTGGACAGCAGGCGACCACTGCGGTGAATTCAGAGAAACCAGTGCCCCCATAGAGTTGCTCCGAGCGAGGTCGTTACGTGATGGCGCACGGGTGACTCACGGCACGCGGAAACGCAAGAAGCACCGTGGACGGCACGTGGAAATGCAAGATGAATCTCACGCCTGCGACTGTGTCTAAAATTGCCATGCACCAAAAAAAAAAAATCCACAAGTGGACTAATTCTAAGAGCAGTGCAAAAGCAGAACAGGACGAGCGCAGGTGAAAACGAACGAGCACCGTCATCGAAATTTCGGATATCGGCAGACTAGAGCCTCTTCGCCCTCGCCCCCGACAAGAGTCTTATGTAGGTTGTCGTATATGCAATAATAATCATAGAGCGCAACACGAGTTGTTCCACTGCACGAAAAAAGAGTAAGAGAACGTCATTTAAGGGCTAGAAGACACTCGAGAACACAGATGCCTTCAAATAGCAAAATTGCAAACCGTCGTGACAAGCAAGGGGCAGCAATCCAATTTCACGCCTTACTTTCCACACACAACATACAGAGGAAGTGAATCGCACAAGGCACTGACATCGAAAGTTCGGATGCCGGCGGAGTACAGCCTCTTCGCCCCCCCCCCCGACAACAATCTTATGTACCACAACCTACATAAGATTGTTGTGGGGGGGGCGAAGAGGCTGTAGTCCGCCGATATCCGAACTTTCGATGTCGGTGCCCTGTGCATTTCACTTGCAATAGAAATCATAGAGTGCAACACAAATTGTTGCACTGCACAACACGAGACTCAGGTGACGAAGTCCACACATGAAAAAGTCATCCAACTACAAGAAAACAATGTTGAACTGCACGAAAATAGTACCACTGCCATACCGACAGCGAGCATCCCAAAGACAACGAGAAACAGACCCAATATAGAAAACAATGTTGAACTCAGAAAGACAGTTGAATAATGTCTTATGTTACCAAATACAATGGTCATAGAATGAAATACATTTAAAGAATTTTGTACAAGTCATTGAAAACTGTCAAAGACAACGTCCTTCCAAGAGACATGTTGCCAGTTGTCGTCTAATAACAGGCAAATCTTTGCTCGAGAATCTGAAAGGGAGTCGATCACCACGTTGCAATAGCGTTGCAAATGTCAACATGGACACCCCGAAACTAGCTCCATCCACTTGCCTTGGAACTCCTTCCACAACAATTTTTCTGACCATAGTCTTCCAACTCCTATCCGATCGGCTACGTGAGGTACGATGTTCTAAATATTGTACAATCAACTCGAAAACACTACGGTAGAAACTGGAATCGGCTTTAACGCAAGGAAAAAAGTCAAAAATTTCAAAGACATTGTCTCTCAAATTAACGGAAAGGAGGATCCAGTGATCGTTATGTTTGTGCACCGGAACGAAGATCATATCGAACTGATGCAGATCAACGTTTTTAGCCCACCTCTCCACCCAGTGTATCCTCGAAGTTGCAGCATACTGAAGAAGAAGAATTGAAGCTGAAGATTCGAAGACCTGATGGTCGTGCACGTGTCGCGGATGTCGTCGACCCAAAAGGGCCATGTAGAAATTCACCACCTCATCGTTGATCTTGCCATTGGCTTGCAAAACGGTGAGCATATCTTTTGTCGTGATTCTGAATTGATCATCCGCAAAGGAAGAGAGGACATGATGAGGAGGCACCACGCTGCAAGAAACATCGTCCATAACCCGCAAGACTTGAGGCGCAATCGTCGTAGCGAAATGCCCCCCCCAGGCCGCAGGTGCTGTAGCCCGAGCTGCACATCATCGACCAACGCACACGCGGGGAAGTGAGAAAGGAAGTTCTAAAGGTTGTCGTTCACCGCACGACACGTCGCTAAGTATTTTTCATACATGGCCTGACCCCTAGTCACAGATCGTGGATATGTCCCCTTCTCCGCAGGTAGAAGGGAAAGACATTCGTCAATGGCTAAGGCATACTCCTTCTCTCCAATCTCGACATCAACCCCTGATGCCTTTAACATATTCTTGTTTCTTGTCGTGAATCTTGAAAGTTTCTGCAATACACGTGCCGGATATTTCGAGAAACTCCTTTTTCGAGACGACCGGACCCCTGTAAAACAGAGAACAGACAAAACCCGAAATGAATATATGATTCCCAAGAGGAGTTCGACGAAAGTGACAATGTGAAAGATAATGTAGCCCATAAGCATGCGTGCATTCGGACATAAAACGACGAGCGTTGTCGAGCCCGAGACCCCAGCACATGACGACGAAGACCACATCAGGCCAAAGAAGAGGAACGCCTACCAATGTTGAAGTTCGGATTTAGGCGGACTTGCAGCTACAACTAGCAGAGACGGACCAGCCTGTTTTGGTCCTGACACTGGAACTGCGGTGACCGAAGGAAACCGGAACTTCGAAGGGTATGTTTTCTAGTCCGTCGGTATCCGCACTACAAGTGTCGGCGCGAGGTCGAAAGTCGGCATTTGCCAATGTGCGGATTCCAGCGGACTTGCAGCCACAGTTCGCAAACACCGACCAACGGGGCGTGCTCCACCTCGCGCCGGCACTTGTAGTTAGGATGCCGACGGACTTCAGAACAGACCTTCCGTATTACCGTTTTTTCGGCGGTTTCCGCAGTTCCAGTGTCAGGACCGAACCCGGTTCTGCAACCTGACCTGCTGGTTGTAGCTGCGAGTCCGCCGGAATCCGAACTTCGGCATTTGTAAACATTCCTCTTCTTTGGTGTGATGTGGTCTTTTGTCGTCTTGGGCAGGGTTCTCGGGCTAGACTGCGCTCGTCGTTTTATGTGCGAATGCACACAAGCTCGTCGCTACGGAAATCGTTTATCGGACGGTCTGTCTTGTAGTCTGTCGGTATCCGCACTACAGGTGTCGGCCAGAGATAGAAAGTCGAGACGGCGACAGAGGACTTGTAGAGGGAGGAACGGATGAGCGGTCGCAGAATAAAGCGTGACGGTGTGTTAAAGAACAAGAGGCCAATTGGTCCTCGCTGACAAGTGAAGCGGAATTTTGTCCATCTAACGTGGGGCATAAACCGACAAGGGGGTTGACAGACAGCGTCGACAATCCCGAAATGCGGTAGTGCTGACATCGCGACGATCGTCAATGCTTACCAGCTTGTTTTTCTTTCCGCTCCTTCGTCGGCAACGTGGGCGCTGGTAAGGCGAGGACAGCCAGGGCCGGAGTGCCTACCCTGCACTTTTTCGGGGACGTGACGTGCTGGCGGCCCCCAACAACCCCCCCCCTTCCTCCTGTGAGCGGTGACCAGGGTACCGGAAAGCACGGCTGGATGAGCGCCAAGTCCCCGGTCGCGAAAGTTTCGTTGCTGAGAAGGGCATCGTCTTTTGACGGGGTGGATGAAAGTGTTTTAGCTTGCACGTCGCCCAGTATGCTATCGATGACCTCATTGACGCTAAGACGGCGAATTGTTTTCGCCAGGCTCACTGTCATGATAGCCTCGTCGCGACCGTCAGGGGGATGCACCGTCGTGGCCAGGTGGTGGGCGTCATATTCTTCGTGGTCCACGGAAAGGCCACTAACCACCTGCGTCTCCATCTCCATCGTCATCGCGTCGTCGTCGATATCACCTTCACCTGGTCTGGCGTACACCAGACCGAACGAATCAGATGTCTCCCCACATACATCCTCGTCTCCGGCATCCACCCTTTCCTCGTTTGTAATATTGAGTCCTCCTTCTTCACCGTCTTCCCCGTCGCGCAATGTAATCAACTCCTTCTCTCGCCCTTCGTCTCCTTCTCCCCCCTCCTCCCATCCTCCCCCTTCTTCCTCGCCCTCGACTTCCATCCATTCTTCCCCCCCGTCAGTCTCACACGACTCGGCTCCTTGCAGCCGCATCAAGGCGGATCCCAAGGAGCGGTCGTCTCTATGAACAGACGTAGCACCTTCCTCCGTCCCTGCCTCCTCCGACGACAGGAACGTCACGAACGAAGTACGGATACCGGCGGACTTCGTCGCAAGGAAGGCGGACGACGCTGCACCAGCTATCTCTCTGTGACTCCGCAGATCGGCCTTGTCCAAGGGCCGGCAGCGTCGCCTCCCGCACAACCAGAGAGGCGCCCATCTCCGCCGCGTGTGCTCCAGTAGAGCTCCACTAGACCGGTACACTGGCCTGAACGTCGTCCGCCCTGGTGTTGATGCCCGCAGACTTGCCCTTCACGGCGGAGACAGGATCCCCTGCACATGAGCCCCACCCCAATTCACCGGAGGAGCCGAAAGCAGTCCACGAGGGAAGGGCCGCCTGCTCCAGAGTCGTCGAAGTGCGGATGCCAGCCGACTTCGCTGCCTCCACGGGCACTGGGTCCTCCATCTGCGAAGTTCGGATGCGGGCAAACTTCCCCGACTTGCCGCTCCCTGCTGTTGGGGAGTGTGTGACGTTCACCCCCCCTTCCCCCACGCCGCTGTGCGCGATCCTGCCCTGACCGCCAGGGGCAGGCGATGATGCCGGCGCGCTTCCCCCTGATGTCGTATGGCCACTGCCTCCGCCACCTCCTTCCTCGTGGCCACTGCCTCCCCCCCCTCCGGCCCCAGGGGGCTCGGAGGCCCTCCTCCCACACTACCCTGGGTCCCTGTCAACGGGGGTACTTTCCAGTTCACCTTTTTCTTCGAAGGGCTCGTCTCGAGGTCGTAGAAATCGTCAGATAGTTCCAACCACTGCTTGTCATGAAGTTCCCGAAACAAGCGATCAGCAGTGGCAATGATGGCCGGGTCGGCGGGCTGCAGGTTGCTGTTCTCTGACGTCACTTTGTCCACCACAGCACTCCTCGCGATATCCAAGTAGTCGGACTTGGCCAGGCGCTCGGACGGCTTCCATTCCCCGTCAGTGTCGACTATGGCCATGACCCACTCCCCCTTCCAATTTGCGGGCTGGATCGTCCCCGGGTGCCAAATCATGTCATGACCCCAGTCTGCCTCCGTGGAATGTGTGTGGTCCTGCCCTTCAAAGTGGATATTCTCATCCTTCCGAGAAGGATGTTGCAGGGGGACTTGACACCCTGGACGCAGAGGAGGAGGCGCAGCAGGCCGAGGTGTCAATCTCGCCAACAGCTTACTAGGGGTCCTCCGCACGGGCGTCGCTTGTGAGGGCCGGTTTGTTGAGGGACTCGTCAACGAGGAGGCCGGGGATGGGAGCACCGGAGCAAGGCGGTAGTCGATGTTAATTTCCTCGGTGTCGCTATCCTCCTCAGGTGCACCGGTGTCGAAGACAACACCGGTGAAGGACTCTTCGTCGGCGTCGATCAAGGCACCGTAACTCTCGAGCCTCAGGACCGGCTCGGATTCGACAAAGTACAATAACTCCAGTCGGTCCAGGAAGTTCTTCGCGTTCAGGCGCGTGGCGCCGTAATAGTTATCTAGCAGCGCCAACATGTGTTCCTTGAGGCGCATGTACTCGATGTCGGTGCCCCTCGCAGGCCGCTTCTCCAAGAAGAGGAACTCGTAGATCCTGCTCCTTTTTCGGGCGCTTAGCTTGAACCACATGTCTGTCGAAGGATCCCAAACGCGTCTCGGCTTCTCACTCTTCGTAATGAACTCACAGTGATATGCTCCCGAGTTGACCGCGGTTTTCAGGAAATCCAACGTGAATTGCAACCACTCTGAATTCCCCTCCAACGCAATGACGTTGCGACCACCCTTCAAAACCTCCCACACGACTTGTGCGTGCGCTTTCCCGAGGAACATGATGCCCTCCCCCTTCTTGCAAAGGAATTCCAGCAGATGGGCGAATTGCGTGGGGTTCCACTCATGGCCCTTGTACACCACGGGATCACGCCCATGTATCACGACGGGCCATTCACAAGCGTCAAACGGCATCTCGGATATCTCAGTGGGAGTCACTTTCTGATGTGCCCCCGCCGCGACAGCATCACCCGCCGCCAACCTCGCGTCGTAGACAACAGATGTGTTCTCCCGCAAGTCGTCGCCTTTGAAAAGGATGTACATGCGGTCGTCCAAGGAGTACAAGTTGTGGCCGACACTGAAACTTTTCTTTTGTTGCGTCCTCCTCACCCACTTCCCGGCCATTGCCTTCACGACGGACAGATGGTGTAGGTTGGTCATGAAGTAGTAGTCGTGCTCACGGGGGACGAACGCGACTACTATCCAGTGCGAGGGGAACAAGTGCTCCAGGAGGGCATTCAAACTCTCGAAGACTTTAGTTGTCCACTGTTTGATGTCCACCTGTTCGCACAAGTCGAGAACGCACGTGTGGCATCTCGTGATTCCGACCGCCCTCTCCAACTCCACGACCTTCATCTGCGCATCCAGAGGGTCGACGTCGAACGGGGCAATAGATGTGACGTCCTTCGAGTCGTTCCACAGAATGTGCACCATCCCTTCGGCCAGCGCGACTTCCATGCTTTTCGAACTGCTGTCGGTCAACACGGAGAGGACCTTGTTCTTCCAGTCGATGGGTAACTTCTTGTTTTGGACTAGCTTTTTTGTCGCCTTGATCGACTTGTCGTTCTCGCAACCCATGTAGGGCGGATAGTCCTTGAACAAGGAGGAGTCACTGACAAGTTTCCTGCTCCCGTCCCACAACGCTGCATCCAGCCCCTGCCCTTCAAACTTTGCCAAAATCGCCTCTCGTTTTTTCAGGAAGGGGTACTTAGTGGTCCAGTCACTGTCTGGCCGGTTCTCATGCTTGAACTGGTAGTAGTTCCACAACCGCACCAATATGCGATCGCACTTCACTAGTTGCACGGCCTCGTGCATCCCCAGCTTCCCTTGCTTCGCCAACGCGGAGGACCCTGTCTGCACCCAGACCACCTCGCAGTTGATAACCTTCTTCAACAACTGGCATTTCTCATTGTCGGTAAGGGCCTCCATACTCTTCCAGCAGTGCGGATCCGGGTCGGTGACCTGGACGAACCAGTCGCCTGGCTCTTTTTCCTTCTTGCCTTTCTTTTGTGGCCCTTCGATGGGGACATTGTAGACGACTACCTTTCGCCCGTCCTTCTCGTTTTCGATGTGGCTCACACCTGGCTTGAGGCCCTGCATCTTCTTCTTCTTCGCGATCCACTTCGCTCCTTCTGGTGCCAGCAGTCTGCCCGTTTCCCATCTGTCGAAAAATTCCATCTCGGCTTCCCATGCGCTTTTCCCTGCCATCGCGAGCGGAAAATAGGATCGAAGGGCAGCGTTCTGTTTCTTGATTCCTTGCTCGGTCTTGTCATCGGCGAGAGTCCACAAGTGATTGTACGACGTCCTATGGAGCGCCTTCGCACAAAATCTTCGCCATGCCTCCACCTGCGCCTGTTTCCCGCTGGGGTTACCCATAACAACTTTCGGGTAACCCAATTCCTTCCAACACTACCGAATGTCTCTCATGGAGAGTTTCAGCTGTCTCGGAGGGGCCTTCAGGTCTTTCTTGTTGTCCTCGGCGCTGACCAGAAGTACCCCTCAAAGTCCTCGTCCGAGAAGTACACAATTCGTGCAGGCCAGCGCTCGAAGTTGTACCTCACCGCCACATCGGTGTCAAGTAGCGCCCTGGCCGTAGCCGCGTTATGCTGGCCCGCCACAGCGTAGTAGTAGTATTGCCCTGCCAGCTCGTCCTTCCAGTCCTCTGGCTTCAGACGATCCGCCCGCACCCCGGGCGTCGGTTTAACCAGCCCCAGAGGTGCGAGCTTTAGTGTCGGCAGCTCGTAAGTCTTCTCGGTCTGAGAGTAGGCCGTCGTCATTGTGTCAATAATGGCCTGTATTTGCACGGGATCCAAGGAACGCTGGTTGTATGCCGCCTCCCACTCGCCGATGTCGATGACTTGCGACGGGTTAATGGCGAACTCCCGCTTTGTTCGCATGCCGTTTTTCCATTCCACGAAGTATGCGGCGTCGATGTCGATGACACCTCTGGGCTGGAAAGGGGCCGACTGGGTTAGCTTCTGAGCCGAGGCCGGGCCCTTTTGACTCGACGCGCCGACATGCCCCTCAGCTCCCTTCCTTTTCCCCCCTGACTGTTGTAGGGTCTTTGTCTTCTGCTTCTTTTTAGCTCCCGGCGCCTCCCCCTCAGAACCTCCCCTTCTCTTTTGTGTAGACTGTTGTTCCCCTCCCTCCCCACCGGAAACGACGCCAACTGTCCTGTCCTCCGACCCCAAGGCGCGACCGCCACCCGACATCGACAGCTGCTCGACGACCGTTGCCCCTCTCGCAGCCCCCGGAATTCTCAGCGTCCCGCGATCTCCGAGTCTATGCGGCGAAACTCGCGTGTCCTCCTCTTCTTCCTCCTCGCTGTCATCGAAGCGACCGCGTTCCTCACCCTGTCGGGGCTGTACTGAACCACCGGAACCCATTTACTCGCCTTCGGTGGGAGCAACACTGGAAACGAACCCGGAACACATTTGCACAGGAAGCGACAGTTCCAGGTCGCTCGAAATTTGGCAGGGATCGTCGAGGTCGAAGTCGGTCTTCTCGACCTCGTCAAAAAACTCCCTAGCCGAAACAAGACCTCCCTCCGCGACTTCAGTGTAGAAAGGGGTCCTCAAAGCCCCCCCACCAAACCCCTGGAACAGATCCCACGAGAGAATCGCCCCTTTCGCAACTGCCAAAACGTCGCCCTTTGAATTGTAAACGACATGCATCAGGTAGCACTGCTTGTCGTGGTTTTTCGATGGCTGCCATCCCTTGACCGAGTCGAGCACTCTTCGTCCTTTTCTATCTTCCACGAAGATGACAGGATCGCAAGGCGGTTTCATGGGCTCGTCATCTTCGGCGAAGCACCAATCGACGAACCACTTCGTGTGTGCATGATTCAACCACGATTTTGCATTCGTCGACTCCCTCCCCGAGGTCCCCGTAGGCTGCTCCTCGCCTCTTGACGTAGACATTGTGTCTGCACCAGACGTAGCGGAGGATGCATTCGAAAACAAACAACACCACCAATAATCAGCAAATGGGGAACTTCGGATACCGGCGGACTACAAGCCATGCAAATAGAAAAGCAGAACACCGCAAAGGAAAAAGCAGGTGCGCTGGCGGCGAGCGAACAGCGTAGAGGGGAATGGTGGTTGTCGACAGTTAGCGCGCAAGCGGGCAGCTTTAGAACTCTTTATAGCATATGTTAGAAGTTCGGATTACGGCGAACTTCGTCCATAGGAGGTCAAGATTGCGCACGTTTCTCATATTGCGGACCTCCTTTGTTCTTCCGGACTGGAAAATTCCAGGCCGAGAGATTGTTGGGACATGTGGTTACTATAGAAGATCGCTCCACCATCGGAGAATATGTATCATGAGCGATGTCCGGATTCCGGCGGACTTCAGCAAATGTTGATGGGCCATTGTGACAGGGTCCGACCTTGTTCCACCAGAATCCGAGGTAGACGGTGCATGAAGTTCCGACAGAGAAAAACTTGTTCGCGTAGTTCGGATGTCGGCGAACTTCCTATCTTACAAGCATCATAATGGTCGACAATTGTGCATGGTGATTGTGCATCATTGGGAATCAACTGGCTGGCAGACAGTGTGCAAATGCCATAACGCGAGAAACCGTGCCGGAGGGCAGTTCCGTTCGCGAGGTGCGAAACTCCGCTCGAAACAGACCCACATCAAACAAGAAGGTCCACCGAACTGACCACAGTTGCGAATGAGCATCTCGAAAGACTGCCCGAACAACTGATAACCTGCGGGATCCGGGGGGGTGTTCTATTTGTGGAGTGCGAAACTCTGCTGGAAACAGACACAGATCCAACAAGAAGGGCCCTAAGAGTGCAGTTGGCCATTCGCGACGTCAACGAACGACTGTTTGGCACATCTTGTAGGCGGTTGCGCGACAACCGCTTCGGGACGAAAGCCTTCCCGTACACGTGTGTCCGGGTCAGTGACGCATCGAGTTTATTTGAAGCTCGGATGGGGGAGGACTTAGAATGCGAGTAGATAAAGAACGGATCCATATGCTGGTCCATGAATTACCTGGACTGTAGTCGCTTCCTCACGCAACTCGACGAACCGCGGAGCGGCCTTGGACACACCCACGCATCACCCAAAATCCAAAGTTCGTCGGGATCCGAACTTCTGGAGGGGGCGACCGGAAGAGACAGGCCTTACTTAGTTGACAGGCTGGTTAAGAAGGCGAAGTCCGCCCACATCCGAGCGCGGACGAAACGAGTCGTCTAGGCAAGGACGGACACGGGCCGTTGTCGCATGAGGCCGCCAGAAAAAACGACAGAGCAATATGAATCCGCACTTGTGCGGTCACCGGAACCCGACGTACGAGGTCTGGTGAAGGTGGGGGTCCGACGAAGGGGCGTAAGGAAACACACAGTCGGTTCGAAGGCATTGTGGAAAAGCGAAGTTCGCCGGGATCCGAACATAGGGCCGGTGCTGGAGAGAGACGCGATGTGCGTGACGAAGGCTTTGCACTTTCGTGTTCAGTGCAATCAGCTGCGTGTCAGAAAGCCACGGCGTCGGAGGACAGACAAAAGTGTGTTGAGATAAATAGCTCGGGCTTTGCACCACACGTGCGCCATATAGTTTCTACTATCAACTATTGCCTCTCACACCTCTCGCTCCTTTTCCCTCAAGCACGAGGTCAGACAACCCGTTCAGATCTGGTTACATTCGGGGTCCCTCGGGGACGAGGTCGTGACCCGAAGCCATACATAGCATTCATTGGTGATCCATAAACGTGGATCTGCGGTTCTTTGACTGACGCATTCTCCGAAAAGACGGACATGTATTTCATCCGAACGAAAACTCCCGGTCGGGCTAAGGAATTCCCAATACAGTCNTGCGGTTCTTTGACTGACGCATTCTCCGAAAAGACGGACATGTATTTCATCCGAACGAAAACTCCCGGTCGGGCTAAGGAATTCCCAATACAGTCTCGTATGTCAGACACTTTCTCTTCCACTTCATGCCACAATGAAAAGTTTTGGACCTGCCCTGCTATCAGGAGGTCCGGCCACCCATCTACACGTTGTGGCCCGCGCGCTTCGACGAATTTAGACCCCTCAAGTACCACCTCGTTTCGTGACACAAGCACAACTGCATCGACAAGTTTCCTACTTTTGTTACAAGTGGCGACACACAGCACTCTGGCGAAATCGGTTCGGGATACAGTCAACCTCACACAACAGTAAGACACAGCTTGTGGAGAAAGACCAGGGCAATGGAGCGGGTAGTGCTCCAGGAACGAGCAGTGACGAGCGTAGTCCTGCAACTCTTGTTTTCGCGAGCCTGTCCACGTGCGTGGCGACGACATGACGTAGTGACACTCTAGGCGACTGAAATGGCGGCTAATGCAACTCATTGTTCTACGCATACGGCTCAGGAACTTGTGTCCGAGGACAGCGTCAGGCAGCGTGATGAGGTCTCCAAACTCCAACATGTTGGCGAACTTGTACTGGCTGGCCCAAGGGCATCGACTCTCCATCGCGGCCCAATTGACATCGTGCCAACCGTCAAGATGTTCATCCATGCACGGGACAACGATCATCCACAGGTCCTCTTCGAAGTCCTCTCTGGTGGCTCCGTGGATCGAAGTCACGCCGTTGAAGTGCCTCACGGATTTCGCACAAGGAGGAAACGGTTCTGCCAAGCGCATGTGCATCTCGGGACTCATGGTCTCCGGTGTCGAGAATATCGAATGCATGATCCGTGGTGTCGAGAAGTTCCCTTCCATTACGCACCCTACACACCACGGATACATATCAAACGAAACACACGGCCACGTACACAGTCGTAAATGGAGTCGGCAAATGGCCACTCCCTTTTGCCACGCCTACACGTAGTCGGCAGGTCACGAACTGTATATTCACGAGGTTCCACACGCCTTCAAGTACTGCACATGCACAGGGAAATGAGGCCCAATGACAAGGGACCCAATGACAGGGCGGATGACAGGCGGAAACGTGATGTTGGCGACACCTGTCTACAACACGTTTAACATCCTGATTCGTAAACACCCCACGTATGAAGCTACGGAAATTTGAAGTCTGTGCATTGAAATTATTCGGAGTCAATTCAAAAAAATATCGACAGATGCGGGTCGAAAATGCACGGTCGTAATGCGAAGAACTGTGAAACCGAAGTGTTTGTAGGAAAGCAAAGTTTGGCGGGATCCGAACTTTGAGAAGGTGCGAGAGACTGGGAGATAGAGAGCTCACCGCCACAACACGTTCGTAGCAACGCTAAGCGATTGCTTAATTTCACTGCCCAGGAGGGAAACCGAAGTCTCGTTGGAAAAAGGTCAATAATTGGTAGTCTGCCGACATCCGAACTTGTGTCCTTGATGCAATTAATGGGCCGCCGGAAACACCAAAGTAAGAACCTGCATCATACGAAAATGCGAAGTTCGCCTGGATCCGCACATGACGTTTGCGCCAATATCCGTCCCTGCGTGCTTTCTGGAATCATGGCGCACAAGGACGACTACAGTCTCAAAGGTGGCCCGGCGAGAAGGCGGTTTCACGGTATTCTACGCGCCCAACGTCCGAAGCTCCAATCCGGGCAAGTGTGGTCGATGACTGAATTTCGGAGCCCCTCGAAGTTCGGATACGGGCGGACTTGGTTATTGTTCAAATCCAAGGGCAACCAGGCGAGCCACAGACNGATGACTGAATTTCGGAGCCCCTCGAAGTTCGGATACGGGCGGACTTGGTTATTGTTCAAATCCAAGGGCAACCAGGCGAGCCACAGACAGGGCTCGTCCATAACTTCGTGAGAGCGCATGAGAGAGCCAGACAAGGTTTGTCGAGCTCTTAGTCCCGCAGTGTCTTGAAGTCCGGATTCCAGCGGACTTCGCATTCCAGCACATTAAGACAACAGCACAAGTTCGCCCGCACTCGAACTTGACGTGTTTCCAAACGGTCGTCGGCCTTTTCACGCTCCGAAAGTCTCATGTCTACCTATCGATCGTCAGAAGAAGTTCGGATACCGGCGAACTTCGAGTATTTTCCATACCGCCTTCGGTCCTTTGATGCGCATGCGGTACCGGACAGGCTTGCGTTGCTGTGTGAATCGAGTGGCTCATGAGAGGGCGAATGGGAATGGGAAGTTCGCCGGGATCCGGACTTCGTCGGGTGGTGTTTTTTTTTTATCAAATCCATATCAGGGTTCGATGGTCGACGAGGTTCGATGGCCGACGAGGTTCGATGGCCGACAAAGGTTCGATGGCCGACGAGGATCAATCGACCGCTGCAAGATCTTTGTTCAACCAGCGATCAGATCGAACCCCCGTCGGCCACCAAACAGTCGTTCCGATTGTGCACCATTCAGTTTCCAACGATTGATCGACTGCAGGGCGGATGTGTAGCGGGAGTGGGGGGCGGATTGGACATCCGTTGATGGAACGATCAGAAAAGAAAAGAAGAAGACAGTGTCGCTTCGTTCTTCATTGTTGGTTTTGTCTTCTAGTCAATCAAATCGTATCGATGGAAATCATTCACTCAATCAAATCAACCATGTACCAGCAGTCCATTCTTCCGATTTCGCTCATCGTATCGATGGATGTGCCGTCTTGACAATATATTGTCATGTGCTGGCTGAGAACTCATTTCGATTTTGCTCAACCTGCACACAGACACAGACTGACATTGCCAAGTTTCAGGAGATTGGAATGACTTGCTTGCGCTGCAATCACCAGCAATCGGTCGACTGTTGTTCATTTCATCGCAGGCGAGTCCTTCCCTTCTCTTGGAGCATCGAAATGGCAGGATAAGCAAAACTAAGGCGCGTTCTCAGCCAACCGATTAATTGATTGAACGATCCAGCAATCGGATTAGACATTCATTGATTGGATAAACAACTCTGATTGGAGTGGAAAAAGAAAAAATGAGTTACAGTTCCGTTTTCGTTTTCGTTATCCATTCAATCAATGAAAATCTCTCAATCACGCTCCACTCGTGGATTGAACGATCCATGCGTAGGTTCATTCGATTTCGCTCATCGTGTCGATGGGAATCTCTCAATAAACCAAAGCAATCATGTTCCACGCGTGGATTTACTAGATTTTTATCATCGTGTCGATCGGATTCGTTCCGATTTCGCTCATCCTGCACACAAACACAGACTTGCATTGTCGCGCTTCGGGAGATGGGAATGTGTCGCCTGAGATGAAGTTAACAGCAATAGGATGGGACATTGATTGATTGAACGATCCGGCACTCCAATCGGACAATGATTGATTGTTTGAACAGCGGCGGAGGAGGCGCGGGATTGGGGATGAAAAGGACATTCATTGATTGAACGTTCGAGTGCGGAAAAACAAACACATTAGCGCTCCGTTCTCCTTACTCGTTTCTGTCTTCCCTTCATTCAACCCAAACCATTTAGCCCAGCATCCATCCGATCTCGTTCAAACCACCATATTTCCAAGTACGCGAGTGTGTCGTCCATGGATTTCTGTCAACTTGCGCAAGCGATCAACCGCGAAGGCAATCGATCAGCGAAATGAATCATCAGCCAGATCGAAATAAGTCGTCACCCAGATCGGAATGAATCTTCAGAAAGATCGGAGTGAATCTTCAGCCTGCGCGGTTGATCAGCTGCGCAAGATGAATCTATGCAAGGACGACACACTCGCGCACTTGAGCACATGTGCATACGGGCACTCCACTGGAGACGCGCGCATTGCAAATGCACACACTCGTTCACAAGACAGGTGGTGGGGAGCAGGTCGCACCTGTAGGACACACGCGCATTGCATACATGCCACGTCATGCATCCGCGAACAAAAACCTTCCGCATGGAGACGCGCACATGCACATGCACATGCACACACTCGTTCAGTCTACATAAACACATCCGCACACACAGACACACGGAGTGAAGAGTGATCGAATCGAAACGGACACGTGCCAACTCACCGGATGAACCCATCGCCAATGGAAGAATACGCAAGCAGGTCGACGCGCACAGGCGGATGACCACACGAGCAGGTCGACGTGATAGGTGGACGATAAAGCGATCCGCGAGGAATATGGCGTGGACAGACACGTGAAAGGTCGGCAACGAGTGCGGTGCGACGCGGAAGATGACGTGGAACGCAACGCGGAAGGTGAAGGAGGACGACGTGCGTTGGTGCGACGGAGGTTTCGCTCGTGCTGCTTGCAAGCTATGGCGCTCGGCCTGTGAGGGGCGCTGGTGTTGACGGCAATGCCAGTGCGAGACGTCCGTCTGGCAGCATCTCCCCAGCAAAAACTCAGAATACGGCCTGATTCGCACGGGCGCCGCTCGAATTTGTACGCGCGAGGATTTCACGCCCCCACGCATAATCCCTCTCGACCTTGCGCGCAAACGGTTTGTGGGTCGCCGAACAGCAGGTCGGATTCGCGCATCTTGCGGTGGCGCGACGTCGAAATCGACGCGAGGTGGGGCCAGTGCAAACGTCATGAAAAAAGGGCCCTGTGCGGACGTCATGAAAAAAAGGGCACTGTGCGGACGTCATGGAATTGTCGGAGGGCCGGTTTCAGGCCGCGCGAGAGGGGCGGGGGGGGGTTTATGTTTTGGGGGTCGGTAGCAGTGGCGGTTGCGCCAGCCTAAACAGCGAAGTCGCCGTCTGGCCGTCCGATTTGCAGATCGGACGGTCGACGTTTGTCGTCCAAAATCACGGCGAGCTGGTCTTTTCGTGCGGTCCCACGACAATCGGAGGAGGGATTTGGATGCCAGTGAACAGCTACCTCGGGTTTGGTGCAGCACATTCGCATCTCCCGCCCACGAGCGCATTCGAACGCGACGTGACCTCCGCGACATCGGCCATCGCCTTCGCTGCCTCGCAGTCGCGCCACGTGTTTCCGAGCGTGGGCTTCAAGGTTTCCGCTCTTCATCCCAATCGATGTCCACCTCTGTCCCGTCCTCCCGTCCGCTCATCATCCCAGTCGATCTCCAGCTTCCGGAGACAGGACACCCTGTCCTTGCGTTTTGAATCAGCGCGTGTCCGCCATTCCCTGCGCTTTGCCCTCGCCAACGAGCTGCTCCCGTCCTTCATGGTACAGCGTCTGTCTCCTCTCGCCGTCGCGTCATTGCCGTCCTTCCGACTGCTCGTGCGCTTGAGTTGTCGGAGTTTCGACACCCTGTCTTCGCGTTCCCCATGGACATGTGGTCGCCATCGTCTGCGCTTCGCCCTCGTCAAAGAGTTGCGCCATCTCTTCAAGGTACAGCGGTGTTCTGCCTGCCCATGTGTAGGTCGATGACGACAACTATCGAGGCTGGCATTGGGGCACTTCGCTGCCGGCGCATGACAGCCGCCGCGGCGCGACGCGTGTCGCATGTGCTGGGAACGGCTATCGATGAAACCTGGGCATATGATGTTTGTGTTTACTATTCTTCTTAGTCTTTTTTTTCGTCGCCATCGTCCACATCATTCCTGCTGGGGTTGAGGTTGGCAATGGGGCACATGGTTTCTTTCTTTTCTTCTGTTCTCACTCGTTCGTTCGTCGCGATCAACCACATGTTGATCGCCGGGGTTGGCAATGGGGCACATGTTTTCTTTGTTTCCTTCTCAATCGTTCGTTCCTCTCGATCTACCAGACGACTTGTGACTCCTCCACGTTCCTTTTCTTCCGCATCCACACGATGTTCAGTTCGGCAATAATAGGAATAATCAACAACCCTGTCCAACTTGGCTAACAATTTGAAAAATACTCAATGTTTCGCACCGTTTTTTGTATCATCAACGAGATCCAAGGCAGGGTAGTGGGGCGAGCTGAGAGAGCAGGAGAGACAGTTGCCGCGACGGTTGCGGTGGAAGATAAGTGGGTGCCACATGGG